GGTTGCTTGTATCGAGGCTAGCCAATTCATATTCTTCAGAATTATTTCAGTTCGAAAGTTGAATTCACGTTATATCAGGCATTGTAACCTATGAAGTAAAGTGCTTATTACCATAAGAAAAATATTATTGAATACATTGCTTACATCAAAGGAAGCAATAATTTAGTGTTGAACGCCGGTAGAATCATGCAAGTGTTGAACAAAAGTGTACATATTGGCCACATTTATACGCGTGCGATTAACGACCAGAGAATAAATTGATTTAAATTATCAAAGAGTCGGACAATTCTTCAGATGACGCTGGTAGGTCGAAAGGCATATATCAAGAAGTAGTTTTAGTTTATTAACGACGTTTCGAGTGCACGAGTGTGCACGAGTGTGCACGAGTGTGCACGAGTGTGCACGGAACGTCGTTAATAAACTAAAACTACTTCTTGATATATGCCTTTCGACCTACCAGCGTCATCTGAAGAATTGTCCGACTCTTTGATAATTTAAATCAATTTATTCTCTGGTCGTTAATCGCACGCGTATAAATCAACAAATTCTGCCATCTCAAACTAATATTGGCCACAGTACACAACTTACGCCTCAGACAGTGTACTGTGGATCACTTAAAGTTTATTACCACGAAAACTTGCAGAGAAATGTAGATTGGGTGTGGCATTGAAATAAGTGCACGCCAATTTTAAAAGAGCTAGGTTACGATAGTCAAATGTATATCGGGGTGTGGCCAAAGTAGCTGCTTAATAAATGGAACAATTTTATATTGACTGGGTTTGAAACTTACTCAGATATACATCCAAAATAATTGACGCACTCATTTAAATTAGTTCAAAATCCTAGAATAAATATAGCATCAAATAAGATAAATGTATTCTGAAATGGCTACTCGAAACAACAAGCCCATATTAGGCTACTGCATGCAACTCGTTCTCATATGGCTCGTTTAATTGGTGGATAAATAGATTTGCGTTGGAACACATCCATGCGACAACATTTCTTCTCGCTTCGAGTCACCGACATGTGGAACAGCCTCCCTGATAGCATCGTTGACGCTCCGAGTGCGAGTATGAACGCCTTCAAGAACAGACTAGACGAAGCTAACCGAATCGACACTTTAGCTCTGTCCGTGAATTACTAATATTATTTACTTTTATTTCAAATTTGAAAGAAATCTGTTCGGTATTTATGGATTTATGACTGGGTAAGTTGAAGGTGAAGTTAGGTTTGCCTCATGGTTGAACTAGTATAAGGTTGACCCATAAGAAGCTCATTTTCGCGGATGGAGCTTGTTTTTCACCTATGACGTCACTGATCTCAATGACGTCACGGGCGTTAACCAATCTCCGAAATGCGTTCAAACCAGTCAACCAATCCGTCATGCGAATGACGGGTTTGTTTACGTTTTTCGATCTACGTGACGTAACAAGAAAGCTGAACTGAAAGGCGGAACTTCTCGTGGGTCAACCTTATATAGTTCAACCATGGGTTTGCCTCTTGAGCTCGCGCTTGAGTTCGCTAAAGTGTCGATTCGGTACGAAGCTATGCAGGAGCATATGTTCAGTCTTAAAATGCCTAGCAAATTACGGACCAGGCAATAAGTCCAGCAGCTATCTCAATCAATCGTCAGTTATGGAAAGACCGGGTTCCAAAGGCCGGATCCCTTCTGAATCAAGTCACGAAAAATTCAAGAATCGGCAACAGGCCATGGGCCTATTTCTTCAACGCCGACACTTCTATTCTATTCTATGCGTCACTACAGAAAACTAAGTAAATTTCCTGACTGTACGGCAATGCTGAGCACTAACGATATCGCTTATCAAATATCGCAATATATATGTGATTTCAGCACATACATTATTCTATTTGTCAGTAATATACACTAAGAACACGTTTACGTTCAAATTCAATACTGACTGTAAGTAACTCTGAACAACTGCTTTAAATAAAAAAAGGCAGTTACGTAAGCCCTTATGGCAACATCGGTGAGAAATGCGGCGCTTGAAAATTCAGTGTTATTTCAAACATCGGAGCCAGAGTACGCTCCGTTGCTATGAGTCTATCTCTGCTGTGTTAATTCTAAGTTTGTCTCATAGGGTATTAGCTTCAAAAATATGATGTATTATGTTACAAAAATATTACCGAAACTTCTATTATTTATTGATATGCAGGTAAATATTAGAGAAATTGGCTGTCGCCACGGCTCAAGAGTGCAACGCAATAGAAGCCGTCGTGGAGCCGCAAACTGCAGCAATTGTTTGCCGCAGGGTTTACAGAGTACCTATTTTTTCGTTTAACAGCAAAATGCGTAGATCTATTGTTATGGTTGAACAAAATAGGTACTCAAATGCGAGTTACATTGCTCAAAAGTCAAAAGTGCTCCCTATCAAATGAATTAGTAAATGCAACTAAGTTTCTTACCTACTTATTGAAAGTCAATCATGGCGCGGTTAGGCCGTTAGACGGTTAGGCTAGGCCGTTAGGGTATCCGGAAATTTGAACAAAATTAGCACGGTAGACTCTTAGCTTTGTAAGTTGTTGACTTTTTTCTTCTCGGTAACTAATTTGCTGCTGACAAGTGCTGAGTTTTGAATTAAAATCAATAACTGATAGGCCTAAATGGCCAGTGATTTCTTGTTCGAATAGGCTAGGAGTAGGCCGCTAGGCGGCTAGGGCGGCTAGGCTAACATTGTCAGCAAGTAATTTTCCAGTTTCCACCATTATTAGGGTGAAATATTAGATTCAAACTTGCTAGCTTGATGCAAAGCGTCAAACAAAACCTTAGTTAGGTATGACATCTTGAACCTCGGGGGAGGTGATGCAACTGCCAAACTGGAATATTGGACTGTAAAAGAGCCAAAAAAGCCAAGCATTTCTATGGCGCTTCTCTTATTTTAACACGTTGACTACGATTGCTTCATCTTGTACAATTATATAATTTTTTGTACTTTTATTTAAGCAGGGTTGCCAGACAGTCATTTTTTCTGGACAAATTCCGTGATTTAGTTTTTCTTAATTGCATTGGCCGGCTAAAATTTATGATAGGGGTACTTCCTAATTAAATTTTAAATACTGAAAAAAAATAAATGGAATTTTTATAGCGGAACCTACAAATAAACTAGTTTACATTGAATTATCGGCCTTTCTTGGCCTTTTTTGTTCTCGGATTTGGCCAATTTTAGGCAACCTGAATTATGTACCACTACGTCCTGGAGAAATACGTTTTGTGCTGTGGTACGCATATGTACCAATACGTAGTCAACGTGTTAAATGTGTAATTAAAGTTCCATAATTAAAAGTTTCATAAAGTTTTAACACTGAAATGGAATATATGTTGTTAAGGAAAGCCATGATGACTGACCAAAGATAAAAATCATTGCTGCCAAGTTTTGAACTTGAAATTTGAATTTTCCTATTTATCAATGAAATCTTTAGGTTCCTACACAACAAGTTTTTGATAGATTTGAAATCTCTGCAATCTGGTGCTTGTCAGCCCAGCTGCTCAGTCAGTGCTCAGATATGCCATATTTTAACAGTTAGATAGTAGGTAATACATTAGTGGGAATCACACTGCCATTGTGCCGCACACTCAAAGATGGCAGGAAAGCTCTCGTTGTGGCTTGAAACATAGATGTATTTCACCCCAGGCTGCCAATGAAATTCATGTGTGATGTGTTTTTTCCACACATGGATCATGATGCATCTCATTCTCAGAATGAGATTATTCATGGTGCACCAGACATTGTGCATATATGTTTGTAATAGATTCTATTAATTAATCATAATGTATGGTGGGTTGACTTCTATAATTATTATTGTGAAATAAAGTGAGTTAGTGAGACCATCTTGAAAACATTTCTCTCATGCAACTCATTTGAATTTCTGCAACCTGGAGATCATTTTGCTTAGAACCATTAACCTTTGTGTTATGTTTGCTTGACATTGGAAAACAAGCTCACCACAAGAATTCTCTGCATTTACTTCATTAATTAAAATGCTGACCTATGAATAAGTTAATATTTTGTCAGAAGCATTAATTGATAATTTCAGGTAATGCCATTGCCAAATTACAACATATCTCTACTTTGATGAATGAGAGTTTGATATAAAATCTTTTTGAGAGAATTCTGTTTTAATTGATGCAAGTACATCTTAATTGGAGGGCCAAAAACTTAGTTTTTTTTGGCAATGAAAAGGCATTTCACTCTAAGCATAAACTGGAAGAATTTGTGACTTAATTAAGATCAATTAGCATCAGCAACATACATATCTAAACTGAATTATGTGGCATCAGTGCTACAAACAAATTTTGATTCCATTTTAGGAATCAAAATAAGGTTGTGAACTTGAATCCTTTATCCACAACTTGTCCCAGTCTTAGCTGATCTAATCTAGAATTTAATTATTTCTCAGTTAGTGAGGCAGAACTGATTTAGGTTTTATATAATGTATCATGTTTGCTAATTTCCATGTTGACAGGCAACTGATTTTTTTTCCAGCTGATACAGAAACAAATCAGGATAAGTTTTGGTGCTCATGACCCGAACTCATGGCCAACTTAACGGAAGACTCAAACAGCAGCAACGATGAACTCTCCGACAATGAGAGCAACCAACCTTCGTCTGAACCTGGTCACCCCTTGGCTTATGTTTATACTGGTCATTAATGCAATACACATTCATAAATTTGAAAAAATGAAGACCAAGTACAAAAAGTACATTTTCTTATACAGCTTCAAATCCTTTCAATAGATTCATTTCACTTCCTCAACAGCCAGCTGTGCTGGTGGTGCTTTTTCCAACAGATGTCCAACTTCAATGGCTGTGTTCCCAAATCCATGTAATTTAGTATAGTATATGTCACAAATTCAATCTCTCAGTTCAACATAATTCCTTCTCACTGAAACTGAATTTTGTTGAAGCATAAAAATCCTGAAAAACTGGACTAAATTATTGAAATTCAAAACATTTATTGCATTAATGCATTCCACCGCAGGCATGGCACAGATGAGTGGAGAGCAGAACTCGGATGAGGACGACAGCAGCAGTGACAGTGACGAGGATGACATGCTGCCGCCCGGCATGACGGCTGCTCAAGCTGCCGTCACCTCATCCGTGTGTGCCAGCGCAGCCATGCCAGGCGGGGGGGCCATCTTCCACCCGCTGGCCAACCTGCGCGCCATGGAGGACAGACTGCAGTCCATCAAGGAGACCGTCGATGCCCGGCCCCCGACACCCCCAGAGGTGGGTCAGTCTTACCCCAGAGGTGGGTCAGTCTTACCCCAGAGGTGGGTCAGTCTTACCCCAGAGGTGGGTCAGTCTTACCCCAGAGGTGGGCCAGTCTTACCTAGACTCCTGCATTTGGTATTTTTTTTAATCCGAGACGAGACAAGACGAGACAACAGGCTCTGTCCCGGTTCGCAATAAATACCGGGACAATTTTCAGCCCTCCGTAGGAATTCCGGGACGATACCGAGACGAGACGAGACTAAGATGAATAAGAAGTTGAAGTGAAATTTAAGTTAAAATCTGCAGCGCTGCACAGTTTATTCATAATGATGTTCTATTCAGTTATTGTTATAGGAAAGCCACTTGGCACCATATAACTGATTTTTCCTCCGTATCTCTTCATACTAGGTATATTTACTGTGCAATTCTGCCATTTAGTTTATTCCAATCACTTGAAATGGCTGGAATAGGTTAATTGTTCATATTAAGTATGGCTTAAAATATGACAATACAGTCTATATAATTTTTTATATTATTTTTTATCAAGACTTGTTGTTAATACCAGATTTATATTGTCCTCTATTTGTTTACTGTAAATGTATTTATGTAATGTATTTTAAAATATAATCAAATTTAAATTAAAATGTATTTATGTAATGTATTTTAAATTAAATTTAAATTAAAATGTATTTATGTACTAATGTATTTTAAATTAATTTTAAAATATAATCAAATTTAAATTAAATGTATTTATGTAATGTACAATGTATTTATCAGCTGAAGAAAGAAGAGCCTGAGGAAGGGGAGGAGGCTGCCATCAAGTCTCCCCCAGCCTGGAATGGGGAGGAGGGCGAGGATAATGAGGAGGATATTGTTGAGATTGGGGAGCAAGAGATAGAGGGGCTGCGGGGGGCCCTGCATGAGGCCCCACGTCGGGGGGACGATGGCCCCATGCAGCTCAAGGACGAGCTCGACTATGAGGACGACCGAGACGATGAGGAGGGAGAGGAGGGCGAACTGGGGGAAGGTTGGGAACTATTTTTGTTTTTTGTAACATGTTAGATTATTATTAATGGATAATTATGACTTTGTTTAGTATTTTTTTAACAAAATCTGTTGGCCAAGAGGTAAAATATTGCGAGTAATCAAAGGGAAATTGATCATGGTCACTGATGGTTAGTTTTTTTGTTACATATTAGGTCATTATTATGAAGAGATTAATTATTATCTTTTAGCTTCTTCTGATTAAAATAATTCCTTATTACTTTGAAACTTGACGCCCAAGCAATCCGTTTTTAATTCATGCCTGAAACATCAGCTCTGGCTTTTATTTCTTATCTTTGGCCATTTTTCTTTCAAATTTCTAATGTTCACTTGTAATTCTCATATATGTCTAACTATCTTAATAAAAGTTGATCATTTAATTCAAAAATTATATCCAAAAGATCAAATTTTATTATTAATAGATTCATTTACATGTTATGTCACTTTACTATTCATTAAGGTTGTAAGTATCAATATTTATCAATGCTATTAGTCATTGCTGCTATAGGAGGTTTTCTTTAAATTTTTCTTGTAAGGATTTAATAATATTTTCAATAATATTTATAATCAACATGATGATAAACAATCGTGAGGTTCATAATGAACAAGCATGATATAAATCATTACAACTGACTTGTAATATAATAATGGTGTTAGCCGCCCCCATGGTCCCACTCTAACCCCACTCTGTGTGTGCAGTTGTGGCCGTGGCTGAGAGGGAGGAGGGGGAGCTCAGTGATGACAATGATGACAGCTCCATGGTGCAGAACGAACCCAAGACCGTGTGTCGGTGAGTGATGGTAATGATGACAGCTCCATGGTGCAGAACGAACCCAAGACCGTGTGTCGGTGAGTGATGACAATGATGACAGCTCCATGGTGCAGAACGAGCCCAAGACTGTGTGTCGGTGAGTGGTGATAATGATGACAGCTCCATGGTGCAGAACGAACCCAAGACCGTGTGTCGGTGATTGATGACAATGATGACAGCTCCATGGTGCAGAATGAGCCCAAGACTGTGTGTCAGTGAGTGATGACAATGATGACAGCTCCATGGTGCAGAACGAGCCCAAGACTGTGTGTCGGTGAGTGGTGACAATGATGACAGCTCCATGGTGCAGAACGAGTCCAAGACTGTGTGTCGGTGAGTGATGACAATGATGACCGCTCCATGGTGCAGAACGAGCCCAAGACTGTGTCGGTGAGTGGCATGCTTTAGTCTTGGAACATTTTGTATCTCAGGAACAAAGTCAAATATTTAGAGTTCAGGCTAACGTTTGCCTTAGGCATACATTTTATTTAAAACTAGTTCCTAATTCGGAATATTTTTGAAGTAACTAATTACCAAATATAATTCCAGATGCTGAAAAGTCATTTTTAGATATCTAGTTTAGTGTCATATGTCCTGCCACTTCGGAGGGGAGACTAGACCGCAAGAAATGGCGGTGTAATTAGGCTAACTCCTGTACTTTTCGCCGCGTTCTTCCGAGTTGATGTTGTGTTTTGATTTTGATGTTGACACTGTGTTGTTGGTGTTTCTGTGTTAACATTGATGTTGTTGCAGTGTTGTTGTTGTTCCTGTGTAAACGCTGGTGTTGTTGCTGTGTTGACATTGGTGTTGTTGCAGGTTCTTCAACAAGGGCCAGTGCACGTGGGGCACCAACTGCCGCTTCCTGCACCCCGGCGTTAGTGACAAGGGCAACTACAACATGTTTGCTCCTGCACGCCAAGGTGGGTGCTGGTGCAGGGCTTGGTCAATAGAGAGGTATCATTACATTGACTTTACGTAACGTTACCGTAACATTAACTTGATGTAACCGTAACGTTAAGTATCAATACAGTAACTTAAAGATATTCACGTCAAAAATATACTTGCAGGAGCCGAGAACAAAGAGAACGAAGGCGACGCTGACGCTGGCAAGACCGGCGACGGCGCAGCAAAAACTGACGAGAAGAAGACCGAGCCCAAGGTGAGACCCCTGCCTCCTGTAGACCCCTGCCTCCTGTAGCCCCCCTGCCTCCTGTAGCCCCCTGCCTCCTGTAGCCCCCTACCTCCTGTAGCCCCCTGCCTCCTGTAGCCCCCTGCCTCTTGTAGNCAATGAGGCACTTGTATTTTCACTTATTATTATTGTGACGATGCCTGTTGTGTGTGCAGGCTGGGCGCCCTCGCTTCTACCCCGAGCCGTCCCCCTTTGAGACGGCCTGGGAGCGAGGCTTGCGACACGCCAAGGACGTGAGTTTCTTTACAGATCATTATCAACTCTACATATCATGATCTTTATGAGAATATTCATTTAAGGTGATTATAGGTCTATCAGCAAGCTCTTTACAACGAATTATGTTAGTGGACCACGCTGCTGTGATGATAATCTTTATGAAAATATTCATTGAAGATGTTTTTAAGTCTTTCAACAAGCTCTTTCGATCGAATCTTTATTTACAGATGATGAAATCTACATATCATGATAATCTTCATGAAAATATTCATTGAAGGTGATTACAAGTCGATCAATAAGCTCTTTACAACGAATCATGTTAGTGGACCACGCGGTAGTTCAGTGTGAAGCTAATTACAAATAAGTGGTTTGTTTTGGGTACTTTATAAACTATTATTATTTTTCAAGTGTTTAGTGTCCCATAATAAGTTATTATGCACCCTATAACCCATAATATAGTCACGGTGATAAACTGATCATATTTACAGTTGATCAAGAGGTCGCACAAGCGTCGCGTGCAGCGATCGTTCATTACGTTCCCTAAGACCTTAAATTCTTGAGTCTTAAGTTCCCAAGACTATAACATATTTTGGTTATTATGAGGAATTTAAAAGCAAAGAAAACCCTAAGTGATTTCACCATATTGATGTTGAAAATGTTTCAAAGACCAGCCCCATCGTCAGTTTGACAATCTAAAAAAGGAATACAATCATTTTACAAGTCAAAGTTCTAAGTCTTGTGATTTGAGCATACTGATAATATAAGTACTTATATACGATTTAAGTATGCTTATTATATTATTACGGTTTACATCATATTTACAGTTGATCAAGAGGTAGCACAAGCCTTTGACCTTAAATTCTTGAGTCTTTAGTACCCAAGTCTATTTTGATTATTATATTAATACGGTTATTATATCATATAAATTCCTACTAAATCTAGCAAACTCCTATTGACAGTTGATCAAGAGGTCGCACAAGCGGCATGAGCAGTAATTGTTCATGGTTTACCCAATGTCCCTAAAATCTTAACTCTATTTTATTATGGTTATTGTATAATTACGGTTATTACATTATATAAATTCATACTATGTCTAGCAAACTTGTGTTTAGAGTTGATCGAGAGGTCACACAAGCAGCGCGTGCAGGAATTGTTCATTGCATACTCTTTGACCTTAAATTCTTGAGTCTATTAGATTATGGTTATTATATCATTAATGTTATTACATTATATAAATTCATACTATGTCTAACAAACTCAAATTTACAGTTGATCAAGAGGTTGCACAAGCGACGTGGGCAGCGATTGTTCATTGTTTACCCTTAGACCTTAAATGCTTGAATCTTACATACCCTAGGCTCTTGTGATTACTATAATATTACGGTTACTATATTATATAAATTAATATAAAATCTAGCAAACTCCTATTTACTGTTGGTCAAGAGGTCTCACAAGCGGCGCGTGCAGCTATTGTTCATTGTTCACCCTTTGACCTTAAATTCTTGAGTCTTGAGTTAGTTGAGCACCCAAGGCTATTATGGTTATCAAATTATAACGGTTATTATAATATATTAAATTATTAATTCATACTATGTCTAACAAACTCCCATTCACAGTTGATCAAGAGGTCACACAAGCGGCGTGAGATGGACGCAGACTTTGAAGAGAAGAGGTTCAACTTGTCACTAGGGCAGGCGGAGCTGGACCACCTGCCTCCTGTAGCCCCTCTGCCTCCTGTAGCCCCCCTGCCTCCTGTAGCCCCTCTCTAGGTGAGAGGGGCTACAGGAGGGATATTATCTTTGCATTCTTTTCAATATTAGCTTAATTGTAAAGGAATCGCAGGAATTTTTAAATTGCCCACGGGAATTCCGAGAACACCTGAAAGATGTTATTTACTGCACTGGAAGATTTTGGTTTGATTTTTATGCTTAGTATTTTTGAAGCCATTTATGTATATTTATATGGATATTATTGCACCTAATTCTTATTGTTGTGCCTGTTGTCATTCATGCGCTCATTCTTGCGCCTATTTGTTATTGAGGCGCTCATTATTACGCCTATTTATCAATGAGGCACTTGTTGTTGCACTTATTACTGTTCTCATTGTGACGACGCCTATTGTGTGGGCACGACATAGTGATATTTTTGTCATTCATGTATAGTGCTATTTTTGAAGTAATTTAGGTATATTTATATGGATATTATTGCACCTAATTCTTATTGTTGTGACTGTTGTTAATGTTATTAAGGGGACCGACCTAGCTCCGGAGAAACTTCTACAGTTATCATCCGATCATCATGAAACTTCACATACATACGTAAAATGTAAAAATAAGAACATTTTGCTCATATGAATTTTTCGAAAAAATTGATAGAAAACGTGAAATTCATAGAAAACCTGTCTCTTATACACATCTAGATGTGTATAAGAGACAGGTNGATGTTGGGGATATAGTGGCTATACGACACTTCCGGGGGTGTGTGTGGTGGTGGTGTTGGGGATATAGTGGCTATACGACACTTCCGGGGGGTGGATGGTGGTGACAATGGCTATATGACACTTCCGGGGGGTGTGTGGTGGTGATGTTAGGGATATATTGGCTATACGACACTTCCGGGGCGGTGTGTGGTGTTAGGGATATATTGGCTATACGACACTTCCAGGGGGTGTGTGGTGGTGATGTTAGGGATATATTGGCTATACGACACTTCCGGGGGGTGTGTGGTGGTGATGTTGGGGATATATTGGCTATATGACACTTCCGGGGGGGGTGTGTGGTGGTGATGTTAGGGATATATTGGCTATATGACACTTCCGGGGTGGTTTGTTATTGAAAATACAGTGCCATTTTAACGTAAATTTCATGTTTACCTTTCTAATCTTGAATGACTTTTTTGTGATTTTCTTTATAGATAACTTTGAAATCTATTTGTTGTTACTTTTTATTGATACTTTATTTTATTGATACTTTATTTTATTGATACTCTATATGATTGATCCTTTATTTTAGTGATGTTTTATTTTATTGATTCTTCATTTTATTGATACTTTATTTGATTGATACTTCTTTTAATACTTTATTGATACTTTATTTGTTTGTAACCAATCCCTATGTCAACATCAAAGTTCACATAACAATCTAAGTTGCTATTGTGCAGGCTTCTTTGAGAACTTTGAGGTACGCTACCACGTAGACCCCTCCATGGTGCGGCGAGGGGCAGGTGGAGGTGCTCCAGCTCCTCCCCTAGAGGGTCGTGGCCCTCCACCCGTCATGCCCCACACCGCGGGGAGGCCAGCGCGGGAGAAGCTGTCGTCCCCTGAACTGGACCCCATCGTCCCCCCTGTCAAGAAGAAACCCTTACCTCCACACCCTGAGGAGAGGTACGTTGAATTGGGAGTTTTGTGTTGAATTGATAGTTTTATGTTGAATTGGGAGTTTTGTGTTGAATTGGGAGTTTTGTGTTGAATTGGGAGTTTAGTGTTGAATTGGGGGAGTGGCAGAGCTCATTTATTAAACTCTACCTAAGGATCGGGTTACGTGACTAAGGTCGTGAGGGATAAGTGAGACACATATGTCTGATAACATATCTTATATACGGGGTGGTTATTTATACCTTGCTATACAGAGTTGAAAGCTACGGCGTCGACCGTAAGGTTGATAACATATCTTATATATGGGGTGGTTATACATTACGGTAGGTACTGAGGTATAAGCTACGGCGCCGTCCGTAAAGTCGGGAGAACTCAAGCTACACGCTACATCGCGGAACAGTAATCAGCTACTGCGGAGGCTCATACTAAGGATACTAGCCTTATATAGCTTTCAGCTTCCGCCCACTATTAAGGTCTTGATCGCGTGATCTATCACGTGATGTCTTCTAGATGCTGACTCATATCTAGTGCTTCTACATCAATCTCTATAACGTCAAGTTAATATTAGGTCTCAATTACTTATGATCTAATATAATTATAATGATTAAAATGAGTGAGACGCCACCAAATTGACAGTGGCAGAAGTTTTAGAATTGAATTACAAGCTTTGTAGTTGAATTGGAAGTTTTACATTGTCTCGTTACGTAAACCATTTTACCGTTGTCATTAAGCTTATTATTATTATTGTTCTATATAATGTGTTATTATTTAATGTTACTCAACATCATTCAATATTATTTAAAATCATTAAATCTTATTCAAAAGAATTTAATATAACATCATTCAATATCATTTAACATCATTTAATATCATTCAATATTATTAAACATCATATAATATTATTTATTCATATAAACTAATGAGCATATCCCGGCAGGCATTATCCCCTCCCCCCATCCCCCGGCTCTGGACCTGTCTCTTATACACATCTAGATGTGTATAAGAGACAGTGAGAGCATCGCTCTGGTAATATTTAATCTCACTTATTTCTTTGAGTGTATCGTTCAATGAATTTAGAAGACGAAGGCGGGTACGTAACCTCGACGCTGTCTCTTATACACATCTAGATGTGTATAAGAGACAGGCNGAAGTGAACAGGATGAAGGGGGCGCAGGTGTGTAGTGAACAGGATGAAGGGGGCGCAGGTGTGTAGTGAACAGGATGAAGGGGGCGCAGGTGTGTAGTGAACAGGATGAAGGGGGCGCAGGTGTGTAGTGAAACAGGATGAAGGGGGCACAGGTGTGTCATGTTTTTGCTGTAGCCCTCAATTCTCTCCATTCTATTGTCCCGAATCTGGGATAAGAATTCATTGGGTATGGTATGTTAATTTTCCTTTCAATTATTATTAACCCATTAATGCCGATAATTATTTTCTGATGTTTTTTTTTATTTCCTGTGAGAATATTATCACTTGTGACGTTAGTAAGTAAGAAATATGTTCTAAAAATCATTTTTCGTCGTATGTGAAAAATTATAGCTTGGTTCCATTTGGAACCTGGCTAAATATTTCATGATCTAAATGACTTTAGAAACATTATATTACTTAAAACCATATACAGCATTAAAAGTGCTCACTTTATTGATAAAATTCTGCATTCATCTCATAAATAATATATTTTTGGACGAATTACTCACTTTTTTCCGCTATGATATCAAGCCGTCTTGTCTGACACCTAGACCTTATAATCTTGGAATGTTATTTGAACAGGGAAACTGTCGGCGCAGCAGAACCAAACTTTGCCAGAACATCTACAAGATGTGTATCTAACCTACGCATCTACTTGTATATTTATTTGATCATACAATTTTATTATGAATCAATTTTTCTCGCTGGATCCAAATGGAACCGCTCGGCATTAATGGGTTAATTAATGATATTGAACGTTACATAATAATTTCATCTAGAAAAGTTATCTAACAATTAATAGAATAATTAAATTTAGTAATATATAATAATAAATTAGCAATAATTTCATCGTTATTGAAGTGGATTCAACCCCTAACCCCCCTCATTGTTCCTAATCCCCCTTTCACCCCAGGCCGCGGGGGTAGGGGACAGAGGGGGAGGNGTCCTTGTTTCCTCAGCACTATTGCTATATTGTCCTTGTTTCCTCAGCACTATTGCTATATTGTCCTTGTTTCCTCAGCACTATTGCTATATTGTCCTTGTTTCCTCAGCACTATTGCTATATTGTCCTTGTTTCCTCAGCACTATTGCTATATTGTCCTTGTTTCCTCAGCACTATTGCTATATTGTCCTTGTTTCCTCAGCACTATTGCTATATTGTCCTTGTTTCCTCAGCACTATTGCTATATTGTCCTTGTTTCCTCAGCACTATTGCTATATTGTCCTTGTTTCCTCAGCACTATTGCTATATTGTCCTTGTTTCCTCAGCACTATTGCTATATTGTCCTTGTTTCCTCAGCACTATTGCTATATTGTCCTTGTTTCCTCAGCACTATTGCTATATTGTCCTTGTTTCCTCAGCACTATTGCTATATTGTCCTTGTTTCCTCAGCACTATTGCTATATTGTCCTTGTTTCCTCAGCACTATTGCTATATTGTCCTTGTTTCCTCAGCACTATTGCTATATTGTCCTTGTTTCCTCAGCACTATTGCTATATTGTCCTTGTTTCCTCAGCACTATTGCTATATTGTCCTTGTTTCCTCAGCACTATTGCTATATTGTCCTTGTTTCCTCAGCACTATTGCTATATTGTCCTTGTTTCCTCAGCACTATTGCTATATTGTCCTTGTTTCCTCAGCACTATTGCTATATTGTCCTTGTTTCCTCAGCACTATTGCTATATTGTCCTTGTTTCCTCAGCACTATTGCTATATTGTCCTTGTTTCCTCAGCACTATTGCTATATTGCCCTTGTTTCCTCAGCACTATTGCTATATTGTCCTCATCTTCATCAAGGGATCTGAAGAATATTCAGGCACAATTGAGTTAATTTAGTTAACCCAAATTATTAATTTTTAACCCAAATAACCCAGAAAATTAACCCAAAAGTTAATTTTAATTTTGGGTTAATTTTGATTTTGGTATAATGTAAATTTTGGTTCCCGCAGGGTGGATGCCTTTGGCCGTATGATCCGCCGTCCGGGCAGACGCCACAACTCCCGCTCCGTCTCCAACTCCAGGTCTCCATCACGCTCCAGGTCTCGCTCCGTCTCCACCAACGGCAGCTCCAGGTCTCGGTCAATATCTCCACCTCGCTCCAGGTCCCGACGGAGACGTAAATACTCGCTGTCCCCATCACGGTCTCGGTCTCGGTCTGACTCCCGCTCGGTCTCAGGGTCCAGCGACTCTGAACCCCGAAGCTCCCGAC